ATGATAAAAGTTTGTTACCTGGAAAAGCTGTTGGTGACAGAATGCGATGATGTTGAGAAAGACAAAGAGATTTAGTTGACCACCCAGGTAATAAGTCGGCGAAAATCCCATTAATGAATACCAGATGACATCAAGTTAAGATAAAAATTTAATGTTCACAGTACGATTCATAAGAATTCTGGCCGATGGAAAAGAAAGAAAAGAAAAGGGAAGATAATTCTTTTTTCTTTGAGCGATAATTGTAAACTGAGGCCAGTCTAGCCACACCCACACTGCCGAGCGTTCATTGGCTGAATGGTGGCGTGAGCGATGGGCGAAGGTAAACATATGAGAAAGAAGGGAAACCTGTTGACGCCCTCTGAGATTGGTGTGAGATATCAATATGAGAAAGGAAGAATTTAGAAGGACAATGCCCTTAAGAACCCCTCTAAAACAGAAAGTAATTGACTTCCAAAAATGGCAAGGGATAAATTTTCCTGTCTGAAAACAAAGAATATCCTTATTGCGGATTTGGAGTTATCGAGGAACCCAAACCACGACAGGCCCCCACCCGGTTTTGGTCGACTTCCATATAAACGAACGTCCCCAGAGTAAAGTGACAGTTGAAGTCACTGAGTTGAGTTGTAGTTGAGATGTGAGCTTGGAGACCAGCCTCGCAGGAGCTGACTGAAAGATTTCCACGCAGTCCGACTTAAACTTCTAACCAAAGACATTTTTTTTTTGAAGAACGACTTAGACTCACACCACCAAAACAATTTTTACGAATATCGCCTGAAGATACAAAAAAAAAACAACAGTTTATTGAAAAAAAAACTTAAGATATTAAGACTCGCCTAAGAAACGCAAAGTGTCACGAATCCATAGAAGCGGTTTGTGAGAAAGACGCAGTCCTGTATTCAGAAAACAGATATAAAGATACTTGTTATTTTTTTTCAACACATTTGTATCTTTTGAGTTGTTACATTATTTTCTTTTGCATATACTTGTGCAGTATCACCTTTGCCGCGGATTCAGCTTGCACTACGGCCCGACGCCTGATTGATTTCGTCTATCTAAGATCAAATCACAACGTGGGTAGGTTAGACTAGAAATCAAAGCAGTTACTTCGGTAACCAGACATTGGAAGCGAGCTGGGAACGACAAAGCTGATATCGAATCTAACCAAATTCCCATCCGAACCAGCCAAGGGTTAGATCTTCACAGGATAGCACAGGAGCAGGAACAGGGTGACGTCACAAAATTCATTTTGTCAGTGTGCTACCAGGGATGTAAAAGAGGATACCTTTATAAAGCAATTGTTAAGTTTGATGAAATTTGGTTGAAAGATCAACAAAAAACGATAAAGAAGCCAGGAAAAATCGCCATTTTTCGCTATTTAAACGGGTATTCACTATATGGGTGGACTCACTTATCAAGTTAAATGATTGTTAAACAATCAATTTATTGTTTGATACAATTGAGTGAAGTTTGTATTTGATTGCTGGAAAATTGAAGGAGTTTTAGTTTAAAATTTGTGTTGAAATCGATTTGTGTTGAAATCGATTTGTGTTGAAATCGATTTTTTGTTTTGTAATCGATTTTTTGTTTTTCGCTAAACGCAGTGGCGTTGAAATAAAAATGAGGTATCGTTGAGCGCATCATGATGTAAGTAATCTACATACCAAGTTGAACAAAATCGGAGGAAAAAGTTGAATTTATCAATTTTGGTCGGCTTTATCGTTTGTTGATTTTTAAAAAAATATTGATTTTATACGCTAAAAATCTCATACATAGTACAATGTATATGCCAAGTTTGGTCAAAATCGGTTGGATGGATCTCGAGTTAAAAGGTGTCACACCGACAGACACGGAGACATCCATTGATATATATATATATATATATATATATATATATATATAGGTTGCGATAACAGACTTGAGAAACTTATTTTCTGGAAAACATTCTTGAAGAGGAACATTTGATAAATTCAACAGACAATAAATAGTACAGACTGCGAAGTCAATGAATGCCAAATGTTTCCTAATAAGAAAACCGCTAATATTAGAATTACCTGGAATTTTTTATGTGAATCTTTCACCAAACCCTCACACATTTGGCGATGATGCATATGCAACGAATGCCAATTGTTTCTTATATACATTGTTTCTTATCAAGTGATGATGTTGAATGTTGAATAATGGGTTTTAAAAGGTTCAAATCAATCAAACGCCCCTCGCTTATTTAGCAACATAGATAGAATTAATAAATAACCCCACAAATCAGGCCCTACCCACATTTCTCACCCATGCAAGACAGACAAGCTTGCGGAGGTGTTGAGGCCTCACACTTATACCCACACCAATACTAATATACACACTTAAACACATCATACTCACTCACTCCCTAATGAGTTAAATGATAGCACACACCATACTAATATACACACTTAAACACATCATACTCACTCACTCCCTAAGAACCAAATAACACACACACTTAACAGAAACACATCCCTTTCCAGGAACCAATAAAACTGTCAAAATGACCAAGGGAATTCAGAGCAGCCTGAATCCATACAGCACTTATCTTAAATAACAACTTAAAAGATACTGCTTGGCCAACACAAGGACTGGCCAAATGTAATTTAAAAAAACAAAAACAAAATGAAAAAATGTAAATTACAGATAAAGTTCATTTTTTCCATCAAATCATTCATTTCTGTAGTTCACTGCTACTAAGCATAGAATTCTTTTTTCTCCTGATAATGGCCATGCTGTCTTAAATTAGTCGAGGAATCTAAGTGAAATAATATAAACGTAAGAATATTAATAAACAACCCTGTGTGTCTGAAGATTTTAATTTTTTATTGTTCAAAACATTCAGGCCAGTAAATGTAATTAATACTGTTTAATTAAAAAAAAAAAAACTAAAAGAGAGCATTTACAATTTAATAAGTTGTATCCATAAAAATAACGTATAAATAGAAAATATATTAAGATATATATTTAGGCTACTGCATAGAAATAATTGTGAAACCGAATGTAGTTATTTTTCAACGAATAGCTACAAATACATGCAGTTATTACTACTTTCTATTTCTACTTTCTATTTCTACTCAATAGCCTTTAGAATGATTTGAAACATAACCGTTACTTCCCACCCAGTAACTGTTACACTAATACAATAGACCTTGTACCAATAATGTACGACTTAGCAGCATATATAGTGGAGCCAAATCAACATACATGGCCTTAAGATTGAGATTAAGCGTTAGACAATCTGTCGCCGCTGGTCGCTGACCTCAATGTCCAATTTACACAAACACAAACGCACAAACACAAACGCACAAACACGCACACAAACACACAGACGTACATACAAATACACAGACACACAAACACACACACATGTATGTATATATACATATATATCCAAATGAGAGTTACTAACGCCTGAAGAAGTACAAACTATTGAAACATGAAAGCTTTTGTGTAGCGATTTCAATATGTTTTTATTATAATCTCTTATATATATATATATGACGTCACCCCGGCCTCTCTGCCCCGTGTGCTATCCTACGACAACCAATGTGACTTGGTATTGGTCGCAGCACCAAATGTGACGTTCTAACCCTTGGTTGAATCGGATGGGAATCTGGTTAGATTCGGTATCAGCCTTGTCGTTCCCAGCTCGCCTCCAACGTCTGGTTACCGAAGTAACTGCTTTGACT